GAATTTCCCTTGTTTATTGAAGTCACACTCCTTCCCTATTATCTACTCCTGGTATATGCGTGTATGTACGTATGTATGAACACATGACCTCGTATGTCCGTCACGTCGCGTCGCCTACACGCGTCGTCGGCACACGGCGACTAGCGCCCCCTTGTGTTTCGTTTCCCTTGGTAGTTGACAGGATTAGCAAGGCATAGCAGCAAGGTCGATTGGTGCCCAAAACTCAGTAGACAAAATCAAACTACCCTCGCCAGAAGCTAGAGGGTTGGAAGAAGGGAACCCTCCCTAATTTCTTCCCACTAGGAAGCGGCCCTCTCCCCAAATTTTTTTGCGAAGGTTGGATTACGTTAACGGCCGAACGGAAGAAACCGGCATTGCTCGCAAAGTTTAACGTCACACACGGACGAGGGGGCATGGGAAGCGACGCCAGCTACCAACAGAAACGAGTACAAAGAGGTGACACCAACGCCCCCCTAGCGCACGACACTGTCTATACCTTGTATAATCGCTCGTCAAACACGCAACGCACAGCAGAGAAACAAAACACAAAAGTACGCAAAAACACGCCGTCCTTTTTTTTCCACTCTCATCTTCCGCTACACTCGACACGATTTATTCTTCGCTATCATTACCGCCGGCGCCACCTGGTAGCTCCGCACGGAAGCCGAATAACCGACATATCCTGATCGAAATAAATATAACTCGTCGCCGTGGCAACGCACCATGGCAACCATCTCGCGTCGTTGTCTTCTCTGTACATAACTTGCATTCGCCGGCGGCGCCAGCGGTGGCGCCGCCTATATTCGCGATCTGTCGCGCGCGCGCCTCAACGCATATATACAAAGCGTGCGCGTCACACGCCCGCCCGCAGGCAGGCAGACGACACCCAACATCAACGATCACTCATGATTATTACATCGCCACGCGACCACTGTATCACAATAAACAAGAGGCCTCCGTCGGCCAACGCGCGCACGGAGGTGCCCCCTGGTGGAGCACCCTCGCGCTCCGCGCTACTACAAAGGGAATGTGTGACGGGCGTTCACTCGGGAAAAGTTCGCTCGCCGCCGCGAGGCTCGCTCCCGTTGCCATGGCAACTCGCCCAATACAAGAGCGTGCAGTTTTACTGTAGCATGGGGGTGATGCTGGCGCCATCTGTGGCAGTTCCAGCGCGACGTCTTTACGCTACGTCGTGCTGCCGACATCACTGGTAGGAGAACCCGGGAGGAAAGGAGAGAGGCTGGGGACCTCCGCCTCATAGAAATGTAAGAAATGTGCCTCCCCCGCTACGACCAAGTCCCCCCTTCCTCCCCCCACCCCCGCTACCATCAAGTCCCCCCTTCCTCCCACCCACGTACCCCCCTCCCCCCACCCTACGTAC